TATGTATTCTTTGTAAGAAATCAGTTTGGTTTGGTTTATTTTGTTTTACGGCATATCAACACCTCAATGGGTTATTTAATGCCGACAAGATTTTTAGGATAGGTTCGTATGAATAGAATATGTATTCTTTGTAAGAAATCAGTTTGGTTTCATTTGTTTTACAGCTGGTAATATTTTTTTTTCAAAAATTTTTTCTGATAATATTTCTTTTTTTTGAAAAATGTATTGCTGGTAATAATTTTTTCTTGAAAAATTTATTGCTGGTAATAATTTTTTACAAAAATGTATTGCTGGTATTAAAACCTTTTTTTACACTTTCAAAGTGTTTTGACTCCAGTTTGGGTGTTAACTATTTACCCATAGCTGGGACCCTAAGAAAGACTAGCACTCCAGGTCAGTGTGGATCTGGGAACACCAGCAATTAAGAGGTGGTTCCACGATCATCAAAACCTCCTGATCAGAGGCCTTGTTGTCGAATGTAGTTTATCGTCATATCCAGGGTAGTAAAGATGTGTGTTGGCCAGGAGATTTATTTAATCTCCAGGGAAAGATTCTTCCCATTTCACTAACAATATCTTGGGATATCTCAATCAGGTTTTATTTAGTACTTCTCAGTTATTGCTTGCCCTGTCCCCACTGAGTTCAAGGATTGAACACACAACTACAATGTTCCTGAATCAATACTTTAATCCAGTAGACTATTGTCCAACAGGATTAAAACTAGATTAGTGTTGGTTAATGAATTTGGTAATATAGTAATTATGAGATCAATCCCTGGGCAGGGCAGTGAATACTTGGACCCAGCAGAAGTATGGTGAGCAACAACTTAGCTGTATTAAGAACTAGACAAGCTATCCTGATTGGCAAGTGCCTGATGAAAGGACATGGAGGTCATGATGGCCAAAAGGTTTTGATAACAACAAAGACAACAGCCTACATGGAAGTAATCTGAATATTTTTGGATATTGATTTTGCAATTTTTTCCTGTGAATTCTTAAAATAAAAAAATAATTCAGATAAAATACAAAAATACATTTCTGATTCTGTCTTCATTGGTTTATGATTTTATTGAATAAAATTTATGAAGTAAACAGTAATGATATTTTTGGTTATTTTTTTTAATCATTTCACTTGAAGCAAGGCAATAAAAGCCAGTAAGACACAAGGGTTTACTGAATATGAAAGGATCTGAGAAAAAAATCATTATTAAGGAGAGGGAACAATAAAGGAAGAGGAATCAAGAAGACAGTAGATAACGATTGACATCGCATTTAAATTTTTGAAGATCAGTGTTGGCTGGAAAGTATGAAGCCGGAAGAGAGTTCCACAGGCGAGAAGTGAGAACAATAAAGGAAGAGGTATCAAGAAAACAGTAGATAACGATTGACATTGCATTTAAATTTTTGAAGATCAAAGTTGGCTGGAAAGCATGAAGCCGGAAGAGAGTTTCACAGGTGAGAAGTGAGAACAATAAAGGAAGAGGAATCAAAAAGACAGTAGATAACAATTGACGTTGCTTTTAAATTTTTGAAGATCAACATTGGCTGGAAAGCAAAAAGCCGGAAGAGAGCTTCACGAATAAGAAATGCAAGAAAACTGTTTCTGTAAATGTTACAGCTAAATCTAGCAATTTCAACTGTAAAATGATGAGACTAGTACTGAGCTTAAATTCATAGTCGAGGTACAAAGGAGGAAAGTTTATTAGAACAATTACCATAATATGTACGGTATTACTATTATCAAATTGGTCTATGAGAGGATTCAAGCACAAGGCTGCTGTAGCGAGACACCCAATGAAGACTGAATCCACTAGACTAGGGAATGAATTTGCTAATTGCTTTTACAATCCCAAATTATTTTTATTATTAGCTTCTAGCAAATGAAGTGTTAGATCCATGACAATTCATGATTTGGTGCAATCAAAATGGATTTAAGTAAACATGCATTAACTTGAATCATTTCATATTCTCAGTCTGGTTATATATATTTTCTTCATCTTGAGACCAGATTTGGCCAACATAATTAATTAATCCAAAGGAAGGCTTTAAAAATAAAAATTTTTGTTCCCTACATACAAAAACATTTAGAGGAATTCTTCCACTTTTCTGTTGAGTGGCTATAACTTTCTTAGTAACAGATACCATTTGCAACTGTTCAGTGTAAGACTATAATTTTTTTTTTCATCTTCACTATCTGGAAAAAAGTAATATGTACTTTAAATGGGTAATTTCAATGAAAAATTTGTTTTCTTCCACAAAAGATATTTTCTCTTTTTTCACAATATTTCTCCATTAAAAAATACCAGGAACAATTTTTTTGTCTTCCAGGTTGTTAATATCTGATGGGTGATTGGTATTGGAGTATAAAAAAATGATACATGTGGATAATGAAAATAACAGGTTTCCTCCAAATATAAGTTGTCTGCTACAAATTATGATTTGTTCCTTTTAACAGACGAGCTCACCATGAATTTGAAGGAGTCATTTCATTATTATTATAACCAATCACAAAATCTTACCAACTGAGACATGTACATTAGCTCGTATTTATAAAGAATAGCTTAGTTTGACACCAAATAAAGGAAGGGGGAAAAATTAGTCACACTAGTCTTTCATTAGAAAGCCTTGAAAATCACGATTCAAAATCCTTGCTTTATATCATGGGTTGAACACTGACTACTGGCTATGTTACTTTTATTTATAACAACCTTAATATTAACAGAAATGAAAGTAAGAAGATCGTGTAGCACCAACTTTTAAAGCCAGGACAGTCTGCTTGCATTGAAAATCAGCATTCAAAAACATGGCATTTACCAAGGCTTGAACTGACCATTATCGTAAAGGGGAATGTTTATGTTTTACTGATCTTACCATTGGACTGCAAAAGGCCCAAAATGAGGGCAATAAGTAAGATCATGTTGCATCAATATTTCAAGTAAAGGAAGGTATGTCTGCCTGTATGTATTGAAAACTAACATACAAACTCTGGGTGGTACCTAGGCTTGAGCACTGACTGCTAATATCAGTGGGGTATTTATTTTTTTTACTGATTTTTGAAGCTGAACTTAGTAGACTATATGGCCAAAATTAGGGGAATGAGAGTAAGATTGTGTTGCTCAAATTTTTCAAGCAAGGTGTGGAGGAAGGTCTGCCTACTTTGAAAATCAGCATTCAAAACCTTATTCTGGATTGCACACTGACCACAAACACTTGTGAGCAATACAAAACTAACACAGCCACTGAGTTAGCCGTGTTAGAGATCAGGGTTGAATATTTTAGCTAAATGGTCTGTTTGTAAAAAAAAAAAAAATGTGGAAAAATTTTCTTTGGAATAATTTCCACTATCCATGATATTTTTCAGAACGGAAAAATACTAATTTTTTTATCATATTATAAAGGGGGTCCTGTCCATAATATAAATACAGTGTCAAACCGTTCCCTTTAAGAGTTATCTGTACTTTAATTTATTTATAAATGTCAAGTTTGAAATGGTGCTTACATCATTGATAACGACGTACTACTAGAATTGGGGAAAGGAAAAAATCAGTAGTAGGAAGTTATCAATTACATAAGCACAGTTTCATATGTGACATTTGTTTGGATTGGTTTCTTTTGTGGCATACCAACACCTCAATGGGTTATTTAATGCTGACAAGATTTTTAGGATAGGTTCATATGAATAGAATATGTATTCTTTGTAAGAAATCAGTTTGGTTTGGTTTATTTTGTTTTATGGCATATCAACACTTGAATGGGTTATTTAATGCCGACAAGATTTTTAGGATAGGTTCATATGAATAGAATATGTATTCTTTGTAAGAAATCAGTTTGGTTTGGTTTATTTTGTTTTATGGCATATCAACCTCAATGGGTTATTTAATGCCGACAAGATTTTTAGGATAGGTTCGTATGAAAAGAATATGTACTTTTGTAAGAAATCAGTTTGGTTTGGTTTATTTTATTTTATGGCATATCAACCTCAATGGGTTATTTAGTGCTGACAAGATTTTTAGGATAGGTTCGTATGAATAGAATATGCATTCTTTGTAAGAAATCAGTTTGGTTAATTTTGTTTTATGGCATATCAACACCTCAATGGGTTATTTAATGCCGACAAGGATAGGTTTATTTGCATTCTTTGGAAATCAGTTTGGTTAATTTTGTTTTATGGCATATCAACCTCAAATAGATTTTAGGATATATCGTATTAGAATTTATTCTTTGTAAGAAATCAGTTTGGTTTGATTTATTTTGTTTTATGGCATATCAACCTCAATGGGTTATTTAATGCCGACAAGATTTTTAGGATATGTTCGCATGAATAGAATATGTATTCTTTGCAAGAAATCAGTTTGGATTGATTTGTTTTATTTTATGGCATATCAACCTCATGGGTTATTTAATGCTGACAAGATTTTTAGGATAGATTCATATAAATAGAATATGTATTAATATTTTTTCTTTCCAAAAACGTAGTGCTGGTAATATTTTTTTATCCAAAAATATATTGCTTGTATTTTTACTATAAAAATCTATTTTTATACATTCATAGTGTTTTCACCTCAGTTTTTGGGTTAACTATCTGCCCATAGCTAAGACCCTAACAGATGCTACCACACCAAGTCAGCGTGGACCTGGGAACAACAGTAATTAAGAGATGGTTCCATGCTCCTCAAAACCTGGTCATAGGCTTTACTGTTGGATGTAGTTTATCATCATACCCAGGATGTATGATATTTGTAAATAAAAACAAAATACAGATGACACTTTAAAAAAGTCAGGGATCAATACAACCCTGTATTTATATTAAGAAGAGGACCCCCTTTTCTAAAAGGTTAAATTTTTTTTTTTTGATTTTGATAATGATCTAACAAATGCTAATCTATAAAAATTGTTCAAAAAAAAAAAAAAATAAAAAATAAAGAAAAAAGTCATCCTTATTTTTACAAGCAGACCAGTTATCCAAAGTAACACCAAAAGCGCCACAAATAGAGGAATCTA